CCCTAAATTGTCCCTCGGTGTGAGTGTGAGTGCGAATGGTTGTTTGTTTATGTGTGCCCTGCGATTGGCTGGCAACCGGTTCAGGGTGTCCCCCGCCGATTGCCCGAACGGACCGGTTTGGAGCACATTCGTGAAATACACCGTCTCATTTTCACTGATCGTCTTCTTATTCATTGTTTGCAATTCTTCAATGAATTGGTTTTGGACAACTTTTAACTATTTCATGCTGTCATATGGCCCAGGAGGTAGGGGTTACCCATTCCTGCTCATAGGGATTACACTATTGCTTTTCTAATGTCAGCGCAGGAGCCTCATTTATTTTTAATGCTGCCTGACACCAGACAGTGTCAAACGAGAACATGTTACTTTTTTTTGTAACGTTCCATTTTCCACAGACATACACTCACACACACGGACTGGCGCGTGCACAAAGGTCTACATTGTTTGCCATATTTGCAACCACACAGCAAATCAACGCGCCATCTGTGTCGAAGCCGCAAACCAGCTAATAATATGCTAGCGCACTCTTGACAAAACAAAAACTTTGCACAGACAGCAAGTACATGGAAGCCAATGAGGAGAATTCGTGAGGAACATCGGGAAGAATTTCCTGTCCCACTTCTCAATTGTCTCTCTCCCACTCCTCCTGATTGACTCTCTGACTGACTGGTGAGAGGAATGACATACGCCCAAAACTGGTCGCCAGCCAATCATAGGGACATACAGAGAAACAAACAGTCATTCACGTTCACATCTACGGACAATTGAGAGTCTTCAGTTAACCTCACTAGCCTTTTGGCGAGAGAAGTGCACCGGAAGTATACCTCAGGGCTCAATCCTTGGCCCCCTTCTGTTCAGCTTGTATATGTTACCCTTGGGTCAAATTCTTCAGTCAAGCCAATCATGTCTATGAAGATGATACACAGCTATAACTGTCCCCCAACGATAACAGTTCAATTAATGTGTTGGGTCACTGATTAAAACAAATTAATAACAGCATGAACCAACATTTTTTTTCAACTGAACCAATACAAAACTGAGGTAATTGCATTCGGCAATGGCCGATGCTGTTGCCCATATTTGGCAGAATAAAATTGTGGTACCGATTAATCATCCGATTGATTAGAAGAACACACATTGAACTAAATGATGTCCATTTTGGTCCATTAACAGTTAAAACAATACAAGTATGAATTGCAGATATAGGTAAAACATTTGACGGTTTTATATTATGTTTTCCTTTAGTATTGGAGTGAAAAATCTGCAAAAATCGGCCGATTATTTTTTCCCAATTTTTGGGGGTGGGAATGTTTTAATCTTTAATCTATTTTTATACAGTATTGTAATGTGTTAATGTTTAAAATCACAATGAAATCGGTAAAATTGACAGATTTTTGGCCAGTTTTTTAGAATAGCAAATTTCAGCCGATTATCAATTGATCGTAAAAACCCGTAAAAGCGGTGTGAGCGGTGAAGTGAGTTAAAACTGTACATTTATATGTGTGACTTTGAGTACGGCCTCTCTCTCTCT